TGTGGCGTTTACTTTCCTTATTTTTTATTTCAGCTGCAGGACTCAGGATCGTGTTTTTAGGGATGGTGACCGAAGGCACGGTGTCATGTTATCAAAATCAATTTGCGGGGTCCGAGAATAAAGGAGGAGGGAGCTGGACTCAGTTTGTCGCCTATTTCGGTGCTCTATTTTTGAGTTTGCAACTTGCCCCGCGCTGTTGTTGTTGTGCCATTTTATTGTGCAATGTTCCGGAAGGCTGCTTTGTTTCAGCAAAATGCGCTATAAACAAGAGCAGCGTATAAAAAAAAAAACAAACAACAACACACAGAGTGTGTTTTCACCATTTGCTAGATACATATCTCGGAGAGGGCTCTTACTTGGCACATACAATGTTTGTCAGATGATTGAGTTGGCCCGGCTGCAATTTATGCTCCTGCTTCAGGATATCAGAATCACGAAATGGTTCTTCTACTGCTCCTGCTTCTCTGCATGGCTGGGTATTTTTCTTACTTTTCAAGCTTTGTCGGGCTGAAAGTGCTAGATTAGCTTGGGAGCTGCTTAGAAATGCTGGGGATTTCATCTGGAATAAATGGTCAAAAGCTATGATATTCTCAGTCGTTAGCCATGCTTATGATTTCTGTGATGATGGAGCTTAGGGGAATACCAAATTTAATAATAATCTTTTTCACGATTTCAAAAATAATGAATATTTATCATATTTAACTTTACCGAAAAGCTGACACATCTTTGCAATTTATTACAGTGAATAAATTATTAAATAATTAATGACATGTCATTTTCAGTTCTCTCTTTCAGAGACTATTTATATTTTATATTTTAATAATAGAAAATTCTATAAATAGCAACCAACATTTCCGTTAATACACATTTGCCCTCTGTCAGCCTCTTTTGCCCCTATTTACTTGATTAAATGACCGAAAAAAATGAAAGCGAAAGCTTATCAAGGAAATAGCTCAGCACATCCTCTGCCCCTTATTGGGCCCTATTCCTGTTTCCAATTTAAACAAACTGTCAGGTGGAAGAAGAACAGACTCAAAGTCTCGCATTAGAGATTGTTTCTGGTAAGCTGCTTATTACAGCTCAAAAAATTCTGCCGGCCTGCAATCTTGAAAAGTCGCAAAATTGTCAAATATTTTTAGAAAAATAAATAAAATAGAGTTTTTTTGACCTTTTCTTGCTTCCCTTCGTTTGTTGTTGCTGTCGTGTCCCAGAATTCTCAATAGAATTACAAACATAAAAACAACAACAAGAAGCAGCAGCGGCAACGTCCGAGGTGAGCTCGTAACATTGTTTTAAAAATGGCAAACGCCTTTCGTATTTGGGTCGAAAAGCACTCAGACGGGGCCCAGGAAATGTGGAGTGCCTCCGAGAGGTTGCCCTCTTCAAAGGAGAAGGAATTCCACACGTCCTCAGAGCGCTGAAAGCAAGGTGGTGGTGGTGGTGGTTGTATAGGTGTGATTGTGTCTGTGTCCGTGTTAGTCAGGTGACAGAGTAAGCGCCTTAAGCTGCCTCAGAGAGCACACACACATGGCCAGGAAAAGAGGACAGTTGTTACATGGAGGGGGAAAAAGAAACCTACAAATGCACACGTTACATAGAATAAGATATTATGTATGTAAGTGCAATGATACACCGGGAGAAATAATTGTGGCTTAATTCTAATAATTCTCAAAATGATAAGCTTAGTACTTAGATCTTGATTTGAAGGTAATAAATCAGTTTAAAAATAATGAAAGAAACTTCTTGATCTTCCAAACACTTCCCTATTTTCTCAGTGCACCTCAACCTTTTACTATATATTTTTGTATTATATTTTACCTGCTATCTGTGACCATCTTCTGCACACTTGACATCCTTGGCTGAGCAACCTAAATTTAAAACTTTTCCCATATATGAGTGAAAACTTTCCACTAAATTGAATTTGCTGAGGGCCGAAGTGTGCAAGGGAAAGCGGATGGGCTTGTGGGCGTCACCGCTTTCCCCTAGCATCTGTACTTAATTTTCACTTCCGGGGCAGATTGTCTAGCAAATTGAGTAATTTAAATAAAGCGCAGCACAAATGCGCCTGACAGTCGTTCGCCGTACTATACCCACAATCTCCACGCCTCCCAGGGATTCCCCCCAGAACAATGTGCTAGCCATGTTAGAGGGAAGTCAACACACACACACATACACAGCCGATACAGCATCAGATACAAAGATACATTCCATGGGATAGCAGTTACTAGCATCTGCCCGGTGCAGTTTTGCTGACGTTTGGCCATTTGATACAATTTGCCATCCCGGACGTTGCTCAATTTTCGGGGCAGTCAACTGTGCAACGTGTCGTTGTCAGGGAAAGAGAAAGGACATGGCAAGAAAGAAAGAGACGGCTGGAAACAATCTCACAGATGCAACTGATTCTCTCCTTTTTGGGACCAGAAATAAATTTGCATATTTTCGGCTCACCATCCTGCTGCCGGGCAGTTAACATGAACATGCAGAAAATGGAAATCATGTACTGTTTGCTGCCGTATGAACCTCACAAAATACACTGTCAACTTGAAGCAAACAAATTGTTTTAAAAATATGAAAATAGCTAAATAATAAAAAGAACAACAGAAGAGGGACAAGTAAATTTTCGCCGAGCCGCCTCCTTGCGGACTCATCAAATTTTCATGCGTTGAAGAAATTGTTTCGTCGCTCTTTCTCTCTTTCCTGCCACTTTGCATTTTTATTTTTGTTTATTGCCTTGCCGTGTCCGTTTATGCGCATAATTTATGCATAAATTTCAATTACCTAGCCCTCGAAAGTATGCCCCGAAAATGTACGCAGCTTGCGACTGGCTTTAATTCACTTACACTCTCTCAAGGTCTCTGTGTGTGTGTGAAGAAATTGCAAAAAAACATTGTCATAGTCTTGCTGGAAACGAAAGTCTCTGTTTTGATTTATAATCTGCGGTGTTTTAGATCTAATTTAGATAATTTTACTAACCCATTGGGATCAATCTAGGCTAGAGTGCTTACACATTTTGTTATTTTAAATTTCAAAAATTTATTTCCCTGCATTTTAATCCACAACATTCTTAAAACTCGTGTCATAAACGTTATTACAATTTCATTTCAATTATTCCCTCTTTTATAACAATTTTTGGCTCTGCTATCATGCGATCCATTAATTTTATGCCCCGACATAATGTTCTTAAAATTCATATGCCTGGTAGAAACTCTGTGTAAAATTTAGATCTCGTACATATTGGCACTCCCCTCGTCGAGTGACCTAGCAGTCATGTCCATATTTTCGGGTGAGAGCACAGAAAATGAAGCAAAAAAAAGTGAATGAAATTTGAAATTCAAAGCACGTAAAATGTGCCACGCGTTGACGCTGCCACGCAGATACGAGTATGTCTGTAATTTATATGGGACAAATATTTGCGTGCCCCAATATGGGGATAAGGGCGCTACAGGGGGTAATCAGTGGGTTGGAGGAGGAGTCACCAAGCTGCAGTTTGCCAGGACTCTTGCTTCCCTTTCCCCAAAAAAGAACCCTCGACTCATTACAACTTCATTAAAATGTCAGAGCCCTGCCCTCGTGCAAAATGTTGCACACTCGGCAGAATTTTCGCCTCCAGGGAAAAGGATTCTCTCACACAGCTTCATGTGAGAACTTAATCGAATAGAAGGACCTCTCTGTATATATATATCTGTGTGTGTGTGGGTGTGTTTGTAGGCGGCAGCTGCAGCTTAACGCAATCATTAAATTTTTATTGATGACCAGGGCTTTCGGTGTGACAAAGTTAATGGAAAGCCAACCGGCAGGCCACTGGCCAACTGGCGTGAAAATATGCAAAGTGACAAAGCGAAAGCAAAATCCGCCGCTAATTCTGATGGATAATTAATTTCGTATGACGGTGCACTGGAAGAAATAATGTGAGCAAGGGGAATTTCAATTTGCCTGTAAGAGCTTGAAATGTTTTTATTAACCGAAGATTAGACAAACTTGAAAATCTACCAAACTAAAGTCTTTTATAAAATAAAAGTAAAATTCTCATTGAAGTTCTTTCAGTACACTCTCTTTTTTAATGCCTTCCTCACATTAGCATTAATGAATTTTCCCCCATAATTGGATTGCGCTAAGGGAAAAATGGCCAAGAAAACGAAGCTGAAAAAGAAAGGTTCTAAAAACAAAATTTCGCACACAAATAGATACAAAGACGTTGTCTGGGCATCATGGAATTATGCAAACGCCGCAAAAGCCAAGACGATTAGCAAGTAAAAGAAGAACTGTTTCGTCCCAGTCCCCGTCCAGAAGGACTCCCCATCGTTGGGCCGCGTTAATGAGTGTCATTACCACGCTGGCCAGCAACAACTTTCGTTTTGACCTCAGCATGGCTTCTAGTCCACTCGCCCACATCTCATTAGCCAACTCAGCTTGTTTGGGTCAAGTTTTCGGGTGGATATCTTTGTCAGAGTTAGGCCAAAGAGCCATTAAGGACACGACCTGCCGGACAGATTCAAATGCCCACATATGTTTGGTTGTCATAAATCCAAGATGACCAGCATCAATCCATCAGTAGCCACTCGAGTCACACTTCATCTACAAAATTCACGACAAGATAGAAAGAGGATAAAGATGCTAATGACTAATGGGTGACAATCAGAGCAAAGTTAAGGTCCTTTTGGCCAAAAGCTTATTGAGCCGTAACATAATATTTATAAGCTGCAAAAATATGCAAGTCAAGTGTGTGGAGGTCCCAGAGGGCACTTCAAGTCCAGATGTTGGGCATTCAACTTGGTTTGGGAGTGTCGTAAATACAAATACAGTCTCATCTCTTGAGCAGTTCCCTTCCTTGAGGAATACTCAATCTCAATCTCAATCTCAGTTTCTGTTTGTGTTTGGTCTAAGCTTTTAGTTCTCCATAATTTGATATTCATGCGTGTATGTGAATCCTGTTTATGCAGCGTTTAAATCTCAGCCTTGCCCTTCTAATCGACTTTTCTCTGTTTCTCTCTCTCTTACAGGCGACGGGAAAAGGCCAAAAAAAAAGGTAAGTCCTAGCCATTTGATGTCTATTGTGATCGAGTGTATAAACCCCTTCTCGGGGTCAACAAGGCAGACAAACAATTTGCATATTTATCTGGCCTGACGAATGTTTCACTTTTTGCCCACTCAACAAGGGTAAACTCCTACATAAATACGGAGCATAAAGCCATTTTTCAACGTCAATCTGCATTTGGCATCTGGCTGTTAAGCTGGCGAGTTCATAAGTTATTCTCTGTTTATGTTAGTTAAGATGCCATCAAGAGAGTTTAATAAATGGAACAGGGAGCTCTTGATTTTAATTAATTTAAAAGCTTAACACAAGATATTCATTTAGTATTAAGTTGCCTAGAAACTCTTCAGCAAGAGTGTTTAGCCTTAAACTTAATAAAAGTCTATTTTTAAGCCTAAAACCTTTGACATTCTATAAATGGCATTTCCTGGATTATCGTCCTTTCCACCTTGTGGCTTTATATACACATGATTCCCGCGGAAAACCCAAACTTCATCTAAGTATGATATACGCATTAAGGCAAATATGTGCCTATGTACTCTGCTCCTTACCGCATTTGTATTCTCTGTGAGCATTGGTGCGTGTTTGCCTTTGATAATTAAAAAAGAAAATCTGCACTTTAACATGGCCGCGGGTGATTAATTGTTCCCGCTGTGTCAATATTTATTAAGTCCCCACTGGGAGCCGCCAATTATGATTTATGAGCCCGGTCAGGCAGGTGATAGGCCACCCTATCACCACCCCAAAAAGCGATTTCCCCATTTCGGCAAACCGACATTGGCAAATTGACTCTGAAGGCGTAATTAACAAAGATTTTTCGGCCTGGCCAAACAAAAGTGCAACAATGGCTGTCAATCTATAATTTGCACACTCATTTTCATTTAAGCCCACCAGAAGGTTTTTAAAGGCTTATTGGGGTTCGTTCGTATTCTTTTTTCTTTATTATTGGCTGTCATAATTGACAGATTTATCGCAGTCGGCATTTCCTGTGGACTTAATTCCATTAATTAAAATAACAAACATAAAATGTTAAAATACCAGTTTATTTATTTTTGGTATTAATATTATTTTATCATAAGTTATTGAATTTAATTTTTTCTTCTTTCCTTAATGTTATTATGGTAATACCATTTTTAATGTGATAAAGTAAAAACCTTAAAAGATTTCTTTTCATAAATTTCAAATCCAAAACATAGCTTTGTGATTTTTAATAACTTATAACAAAAAGATTTAAGCAAGGACTCTCATTTTTCCTCTACACTTTACTACAGATTGCACCATAAGCAAGGATTTTTCCTCTTCGCGAAATGATTAAAGCTGCTGCCGCATTAAATAAAATAATTATTTCTGCATTAAACTTCAGTGCCTTCTGGTTTAACGACACGATTCTCAGTTTAAAGCTGGCATAAAAATGGCGAAAGCCACTTACTGAAGGGGGGAGAGGGAGAGGGAGAGAGAGAGGCTGTGTGTCGACTTCTGGTTTTTCTGGGAGTATCCGGGAAGGACCCTTCCCTAACTTGACTGGGTGTTAATTTTTGGGCGGCACCAGCGAAACCTAAATAAGTTATGTCATTTTGGCGCACATTTCATTTTTCTCGGTTGCCATAGAAATTTAATAAAGCAGCGTCGAAAATTATTAGCATATTTAAAAGGGCGCAAGAGCTGAGCATAAACATGAAGGATCAGGCTCCAGCTCAAGTTCTATGTAGGGTGGGGGTGAACCGTAGGAACAGTTAATAAAATGAGGCGACCGAGAATTGTCTTAAGTTATGCACAGGCTTGACTGCCAGGGCAAAGAGGTTTCCCTTCTGACCTGGCCAGGTATACGATATATATATGCAATTTTCCTGCATTTTCCTTTGCTTCCCCTCCCCCACCAGCCAGCACCTGAATAGTTGAGCGGATTAGCAATGGAAATGCGAACAAATTGAATTGACGAATGGGAAGTGTCATCATTCAGCCAGGAGGTAGCTAACTTCATTTAAATATGCCACTTTATACTTTTCCAGCTGGGAAAACTTCTTTATGGGATTGCCTTTTCATTCGTAATGAGTAAAAGTTTATTTTTATTCAAGAAGGCACTTTCATTTTGTATGTTTATATATTACTAAAACTATTTATTTGTATTTTTAATTTAATTTATGTTATTTTCCCTCAATCATCAGCCTTTGCATTTAGCCATTTACCTCTCCCTTAGCCATATTCCAACTTATTGTAACTACCAACTGATTTGCTTCTTAAGCTCTTTCTCTGTAAACAATCGTATTTGGCCAGTAAGTGGTCAAGGAAGTTGCTGAGCCATACCGATATGCCATTCAGTGGCTGTCTTGGCATATTTGCCAAATCCGAAATCCATTAGCCATGCCGATTATTTATGGAGGCCTTTGGGAACTCTATAAATAGAAACTATGCTCGTTTGTTGGGTCAACTACCAGGACAGTTAGGGACTTTACTGTGGGAATAAGGGAGCAGGAGTAGGAGCAGCGTTTGGCCTTAGATTTTAGACAACAGATGTTAATGCCTCGGTAGGCAAAGTGCGTTTTGCTGTTGGCCTTTTCTATGCTATCTGACCAGATTCCTCCTCCTGACCAATTTCCCATCTATTACTTCTTGTTCTTCTTTTACTGGTCAACCATTGGATGTTTTGTGGTCAGCCTGGGCATTTGGTTGTTGGCATACGCAATGTGGCCGCAAAATTGTACGGCTTGGCTGGCCCCGTTTTTATGACAAGGCACGACGGACGAGGCAGGACTTGGTTGGTATACCGCTAAGGGCATTATATCGAATTATGTTATAAATATGAAATATATTTGGGCATTCGTGGCAATACGTGTGAGCATGTCCTGTGGTCTTCTGGTCCTTTGGCCCCATGAAAAGTGCTGTCAATGGCATTTGCCAGGGCTTTTATGGTATTTTATGTGATGTTCGTGGTGAGGAAAAGGGAATCCTTGTTGCATAATTAAGGCATTATCATTGCTGCCCCTTCCTCCCCTGCTACCACCCTTGTCACATTCTGTTCGCTGCCGCAATGGTTGGTCGTTTAAGCGACGCGTCCGCCCATGAATATTGAAAACGGGCCCAGAGATATATTTAGTGTGACATTGACTGGCATAAATTTTAATTTGATAATGTTTTGGCAAAAATATTGTATGAATGTGAAATTGCAATTTATTTATCAGGTTGGATTATTTGAATTTTTCTATTTAATTTATTTTACTTTAGCTTAAAAAGCTTAAAAATAAATTAGTTTAATTTGTTTGAATACAAAATACAGTTTTATCGTAAAGCCACAAGGCACTTCAAGCGCTTAAATTGGAATAGGCATATAAATTAAATATTTAAATTAATTTAATTTTTGCTAATTAGTAACTGCGCTGCAAAGAAGAGAAAGAAATGGCACCAAAAACCAGTAAATTCTAATTAAATATTATTAAAAACTTGTTAAACTGGACTTAAATGAGTATCCAGTAACCCACAAACTTTCTCTTAATTAAAATGCCAACAATTAACCCATATGCTCCCCTATTATTCAACATAAATTGCATTACATAATTTGGGCAGTTAACCCCTTGGAAAAACACATATGGCATGTAATCCTTGTTATCCTCTTACGGCTGATAAATCCTCTTATGCCTGTAAATTAGTTATCATGGAAATTTTCCAATAAAAGTTTCCGCCGTTTCTGGTCCCTGGAAATGTTGGACAATTTGCGGTTTGGCTGTAAATGCAAAAATGGCAATAATAAAACGCCATCAACCGCAGGAACCGCGGCCAAGGGCCAAGGAATCTATAAAACGAATCGACTTTGCCAACGGTTGGACAATATTATCGTTGCATAATTTCCGCTAATTTGTGCGTCGAATAACCCAAAAGGGCGACAAATGTGGGCCAAACAGCCAAACATGCAGAATGCAGTACCCCTGGGAAATGGGTGGCTTGTTCAGTGGGCGTTGGGGGTAATGGGGGCTGTGAAGTCAATGCCACCAGCTGTGTGGGTCACTTGCTGGTTAATGTTGACCCCTGCCTCCTTGAAGCGACTCTTTACATAATGAGCGCACAATAAGTGACTCATAAATGTTGTATTAATATTGTGGCACAATGACTTGGATTTCCAAGCGGCAAAATACATAACACATCCGGCCCGGGGACTTGTTATTTGTCGTTTGTCGCATTAATCAGCTCGCATAATAATAATACCAAACAATTACTGCAAATCAATATTTGGATTGCATTGTATTACATCGAAATCCCAGAATACAATTTTCAGTTGGGTCTGGGTCTGGGTCCATGGGTGGGCGTGCACTCAACCGAGCCTCGAGGTTGAACCAAGTGGACACTCAAGAAAACGAGACCGAGAAACGGGCCCAAGCCCAAAATCCATGTCTCTCGGCCAAGAGTTTTTCATGGCAGCCTCGACAACATTTTCTGCCTGACCATGCTTTAGTTTTATTGATTTATTCCTTTCGCCTTTTGCTGGAAAAACAAATTACAAGTGCCTGTTGCGGTCCACTTTTTTCCGCTCTTCTATTTCGGGGAAAACTATTTTGATGTACTTGTCGTTGGTTGGGTATAAAAAATGAAGGAAAAGAAAAATAATCTCAGCTTTGCCTCTTCTCCGTCTTGGCCCAAAGAGTATTGAGTTCAGAAACTGCAATGTTTCCAGCTAAACTTGAGCAGAGCAGAATGGAAATTTAATGGAGTCATTATTATAATCCAAATTGCTGCTGGGAAACTTTAATAGTTAGAAAAATTGCAAACCATTTGACAGAATGTTTATGTGGGACTTGAAGGGATTAAGTTTTGTTCCAGAGGAATAATAGTCTTAAATATTAAGCAGGAATAAAGTTAAAAATATATTCTATAAATAGAATTTCAGGTTTTCGTGGCAGAAAGTGCGTAGAATTTTCTTTACTTTTCTTAAAATACTTTAACAAACTTTTAAGATTTTATAAATACATTTTTTGTTATAGATCAATAACCGTCCTTAATGATAA